TTAAAAATAAGTTAGTTTCCAATTGTTTTATTATTTTTATAATGTATTTTAACTTAAATAAACACAAAACCTAATATTCATGAATCTAAATTAAAACATTACAGGTTGAAAAATGTCATGACAATTTCGGTATAACTGAAAAAGCATAACTACACTTCAAAGCTACTCTTCTTCATATACAGATGACTTTAAGGGCAATTTTCCATTAAAAGCAGTCTGTGAGATCACCGAACCAATTAAGGTATATTGCATTATTTGATATGTTTTACATTTTATTTTTGCATAATTATTTTAATAATTTTTACATTTGATATGATACAGGAAATGAAGTTTTTATTCGTTGCTTCCATTGTTAATATAAGGCAGAATCTACCATGGTATTATGAAGCATGCAAAAAATGTGGAAAAAAAATTATCCCTGTTCCCAAAACCAATCATTCGTATACCAACCCTGAGGGAATTTCAGAAACTATGGTTGTCGAGTGTACAAATGCACAATGCAAAAAATCTGAATTTCAGTCAGTTATAAAGTATAGACATATTTATTTCTATTAATTTTGTCAATCTTAAAACAACACTAACAATGACATAATTTTTTTTGTTTTAGGTATATAATTCCAATTAACGTACAAGATTGTACTGGAACCATTGGATTGACTCTTTTTGATAGGGAAGCAAGGAGGTTGTTAAATATAAGTGCCTACGAGTTGAAAAAGATACATGATGCGGTATATTATTCATACCTTTAAAATCAGAAAACATTTACTTAATTTTTTTAATTTATTAAAATATATCTTACAGGCCGGAGACAGTGATGCCCTATTTCCAATGCAACTTAACGTGTTGAAAAACCGCAAGTTTGGTTTTGTTGTAGATATTACAGAATACAATGTCAACAACTATAATAACATCTACACAGTTCTCAGAGTTACAGAAAGATATGTCCATTGTTTCTGAATTGGAAAGTAAAATAGAACTTATGGTATGTAATTTTTTATTGTTGAAAATTTACAATTCTTTAATGTTAAAGTACATAACGATTAACATATTTCCATTTTATTTTTTTGAGTATTCAATCTGTCTCCTTAAATCAAGTTGCTTTGAAATCCGATGATGTTGTACAGCCTGTTCAAAAGGTTTTTCATTTTATTTTATAAACTTTTAATTATATTAGTTATTTTTTTTAGGAATTAAACAATTTTTTTTTTAAATTAGGATGTGATCTCACAAACAGACGAAAGTTTTACACCCTCAACAGTTGATAAGTCAACCGCAACAAGTCCAAGCAAAATATCAGGTGATTTGAAGCGCAACCTCCAAGAAATTTATGATGTTGATTCTGGATATGATTTAAGTTCAACTAAGGCTAAAAGAAAAGTCAACCGCAGAGGAAACTCCACTCTTGATTCCAAAAATTGAAAAGTGAGTTTCTATCGGTTATAAGACACATCTAATATATTTTGATCATTTGTTTTGGTTATAAAGATATTTGATTGCTTGGTATGATTTTATTTTAGGGCATTTAGGATGTCAAATATTATTGGTTTTGAATATTTTTGGATACTTTTATTGTTTTAAATTGGACAAGTTAGTTGATTTTGGTTATAACTCAAATAAAATATTTTGAAGTTTATTTGCTTTGTAAAATTTTTTTTAATTTTTTCTTAATATTTTAAATTTTTGGCCGATATTGCATATGTGGTTATTATTGTTCAAATGTTAAAGCTATCTTGAGCTTGATACTTTGATACTTTTACAGGTGAAATTATATTGTGATTGAGGGTGCTTAATTTGTGCTTTATCTAATTTGTATTAAAAAAAATGAAAACTTTGTTGGTATTCCTCTTAAACTAAAAAATAACTACTCAATAGTCAATACTACAACATTTTACTTTCATTGGTTTCCCTTTAACCAGTAAAAATCATTATTATGTTATTTTTTTAGAATGGAACATTCCCTTAAA